CTCCAACTTTGTGAATACACCTTGGAAGAACACATCACGAATAATGAGGGTGGTCTGCTGATGAAAAAGAAGCTTGCCTATGAAGTTCTTGACAGTTTACGAGTGCTTCACTGTCAAAACCCTCAAATTCTCCACCGAGATCTGAAACCACAGAATGTTTTGATTGGTAAGACAGTCACGATGTGAAATTCAGAAGACGCATCAATGTTTTGATTCATAATTACCATACATGATATTGTTTCCTGACGTTTTTTACATGATTTGTTCTGCAGATGTTAGTGGAAAGGCGAGACTAGCTGACTTTAGTATGAGTAGACAGTTACCCAATGGCCAAACAACTTTGCACACAGCCAGTGCAGGAACAACTGGATGGATGGCTCGAGAGGCTATACCCAAAAAACCTGACATCCCATACAAGTCAAGCACTGATGTACAGGTTAGTTTTTCTGCCACACAAACATAATTAATACCTTGGTGAAAATCACCTGAACTGATTAAATGTTGTGTTTCTTAAGGTGGCAGGGATGCTGATCTATTACATCCTCTCTGGGGGCCACCATCCGTTTGGCGAACACTATGAATGTGTGTACAACATTCACCAAGGGAAGTACTGTTTGGATCATGTTCAAGATGTGGTGGCAAAGGATCTCATTCAGTGGATGATCAATAAAGAACCAACGGACAGACCAAGAGTGGAAGAATGTTTGAGTCATCCCTTCTTCTGGCCTTGTGACAAGTAAGGAAGAAATGTTATCATACCACTGGAACAAAATCTGCAAGTTTTGATATTACTTTAATTTCTCATTTCACTTCCACTCTTCTACTGTTTGTGATGATGTGCAGTATAAACTTGTCTGCTAAACATTGTCAAATCTGATGGCAAAAATGAGTTTTGGTCTTGTCAGGCCAAAGAACCTTCTTCCAGTTGACTTCAGAGTCTCCTCCCACATGCCTTCTGGCACAGTCTTGTCAAGAATTTTTCAACAGTGGTTTTCTCTTTGCTACTCTCCCATGAAGTTTTGACTGTTCAAGAACCTGGGCACCAGTTGTTGTTTGTATAGTCGCTTCCATGTATGGCGGTGTGCATGGATGCAGCGGCCCCTTCAGGAGGCAGCGAGAGTGAACGTTTAGTGTCTCTATCCCAGACGTGCATTCCGCAAAACTTTAATGATCCTGAAGAAACGCTCTCTCATCTCGCCTGTGCTACTGTGTATGTACAGCAAAATGACCCGATTTGATTTGATTTGATGTCAGCCACTGAAACGTGTAGCTCCTTCAGAGGAGTCATAGGTGTCTTGGTCGCCTCCCTCACAAGTCTCTGTCTTGAACGGTGGCTCAGTTCCTGAGGAGGACCTGCTCTCGGCAGAATGACCCATGTGTTGTATTGGTACCACTTCTTCATGATGGATTTGCCTGTACTCCAAGGGATATTTAATGACTTGGACTTTTATTGTATCCTTCCCCTAACTTGTGCTTTTAACTAACCTTTCAGTCTGGAGTACTGATTTGCTAGTGACTGGACCATCCAGATTCAGGTCTATTTATACCACTATCACTCAAATGGTCACTAACAGTTTGACTTCTAGCACCAATTGGCTGCACTTGTGTTACATTAGGTGGGAAACTTTAAACGGAGTAATACCTATGCAATGACATGTTAAATATATTGAATTAATTGCCATCAATGTTAAATAAGTTTTCACTTTGACAAGAAAGAGCCTTTGTTTCAAATAAATTAAGAATGATTCAATGCTGATAAGCAATGAAAGGTGAAAACTTCCATGGGTGGCAAATACTTTTTGTAGCCAATGTATTCAGGATCATCTGCGTTGGGTTTTCTGTCTGTTTTCCACTTCATAATGCATAATTTCTCCTTTTCCTAGGCAAGTTCGATACTTGAGAGCAATTGGTGACAGAAAGGAGGTGGTAAACCATCGAAATGCTGGTCCAGAACTGCTTCATTCTCTGGAAGAATGTGTGAAGGATGGATCCTTCAAACAGTGGAAACATAAGGTGATTACAATCAACCAGCTCAGACGTATGTACTCCTCAATCGATTTTAATGACGATTATTTTTTCGGTGTTGCAGTTCCCACAGTGGCTGTTTCAGAAGATGGATCCCAAAAACAAAGCCTACCCTGAAACCACTCTGGCATTCCTGCGCTTCATACGCGTCCTCTACGTGCACTAGTAAGATGAACTGAATTAAAAGTGATGCAAGGCCCTAAATCTCATGAACATTGAAACTATGATTGTGTAGTTTTATGTCTTTGTTCAAAGAAAGACGTGCAAACTTGACTTTTCACATATTAACACCATAGTCATGATATTTAAGTCTTCAGAGTACTTTTGGTACGACATCTTACATCTTACTGTTCTCTAATACCATTTTCCTTCTTGTTCACAGTGTTAAGGATGCCGAGAAAGCCAAAGTCAATCTAACTGCATGGTTTCCTGATCTCTTTGGATGCATTTACAAGTTTGCCAAGACCCAAGGATGGAATTCAGAGACACCGTTGAAGGAATTCTTTGAAAGAGAAGACATCGGAGCCACCTTTGAGTTTCAAGCCACAAACGCTGAGGACCATCCGAGTGCCCCAGTTCAAGAGACTCAACCCAGTGATGCTGAATTAAAGAAGGATGAAAGACCTTGAAAATGATTTCAAAGTCTGACAAGCCAAGAAAACAAGAAAACGAAGACACACTTAGACACTTCACACATAATCATGGCAGTAAAGGTGTTACTACTAACATCAACGGAGCTTTGTTTTCTATTTGAGAGTCACAGTGAGACGTGACAGAGTTCATGCTCTGATTGATGGTTTACATCTGAGCTCTTCTTACTGTATTGAAATGTGTCACATGAAATAAGCCTGTGAAGCTACTTTCAGAGATTCTACTTCGTGAGATTGGATTCTTTTACTTGGCTATTATCCTGACAGGGAACAATTAGAGTTTTTTTTTTTATACTGTGATGGAAATTGAGTGTAGCTTCTCATTTGCATCTTTTTATAACCTTCTGGCCTTTCAGTAACCTTTTGTATCCGTCATACCCTGTGGCCTCTCTGTAACTTTTTGCACTTGTGTCTCGACTTAACTGCAGACCTGTTGTACCGCCTTGTTTCAGTCTTGTTCTTCTTAGAAAAGGAGAACCGATGACTAAGACGCGTACTCGCTCTGAAAGTTTGTTTCATCCTGTTTTTGTCCCACTCCATAGTTCTTGCCAGTGTTATAATGAATGAATGAAAAATACTTTATTTATCCCAGAAGGGAAATTCAATTATAACAATTATAACAGAGTAACGGCCCGTTACGATGCTGCTTGACAAAATGATGCTGTGTCTTGGCTCGCTACACTGTCATTCAAGCTGCGTGTTCGGATATTTTGACATATTTTCTAGTAAAACGTGCAAATTTTCCTAAGAAACTCGTTTCCCTACCATCGTCTTCACTGCTACCGCTGTTCTTCGTTTGCATAGCGTTAGCGCTAACTTTGCTAAGTGTTGCTAAGACACCCACTCGCTACGCTGTCAAAGTCTTCTGGTGAGAACCCTGCACTCTGTATGACCTCTTCACGGAGAACAAAACTCACAAAGACACTCTGCTCTTTATGAGTTTGTTTCAGATTCCCATGTAGTAGAATTTCTATTACATTCTAAATCTATCTGATGGCTGAAGTTGCTAGTTAATTCACAAATTAATGATGAAACACAAAGCATATAATAAGAACAAACAATATGATGGACTGTTAGAGTTGAACTACTTAGTTATATAGTGTAGGTGGCAAAATTAGAATTCTTTTCACATCATTATTACCGAAAAAGATGCTGAAATTGTT